GGGGGTGCTTAGCTAGAGCACGGGAAGATCGTGCACAGTAACAGGAGAGAAGGCCAAGGCCCAGGGACGCAGGGAGGCCAGGTGAGCTCTTCTGGTTGCTTCTGGCTCCTTGACGGGTGGATGTAAAGCGACCAGCCGACGGAAGTGGGAGGGAGGTGTGAGAAGGTGCCAGAGTCACAGAGAAGGTGGGGGACAGTGGTCTAGGAAGGCACAAGGGCGACCCGAGTACCAGGGAATGTGGCGGGAAAACCAGTAACATGAAGGGTCCGCTGAGGGGAGCAAAGGGGAGACCAGTCAGCGAGGTTGGGGGTTTCTCTCCCGTGATACTCAGCTGCACCTCCTGCCAGGAGGGAGAGCCGAGTTTCAGCAGGTCAGTGGAGCACAGGCCCGTGGGATTATGGGCAACGCGAGGGGCGATGGGCAGTGGATCAGGAGGTGGGGGGACTGATGGACTGCAGGTGCAGGCGGGGCTGCAGGACTCTCAGGATTTGGGGCACCGGAGGCGTCCGCCTCCTGGTTCTCTCGAACCCAGACCTCTCTGCACACCACCGGCTTCGGTCGCCCTGCCTGTGGCCCGCCCAGCAGCCAGCACAACCTCTGACAAAGCAAATCTGGTCAGAAGCACTGACCCTCCCCTCTCCTTGTATGTCATCTGGCCGATTCCTACGTATCCCTCTCAGATCTCGCCTCCAGCCACCGACTCCTGGGAGCCTGCCTTGATATCCCCCAGGGGCGGCGCCCGAGATAATGCCTGGCTCCGCTGTCTCTCCCACGGGGCTGGGGCTCTCTTTAGTCACTGCCTGATGTATGCGCGGTGACCTGGCCAGGTTGGCCCTCGATGTGCTTGACATTACTCATTAAAAAAAAGAAGCAACGAGCGGGACAGCATGTGCGGCGCGAGCCCCCCTTTAGCTTTGTGTACACCCCCAAACAGCAGCGATATCTGGATAGAGGTACGGTGGGCACGCCCCTTCCGTGATAAGCCCTCCCCTAGCTCCCCAGGAATTCCGGGACTGAGCTCAGCTCCGCCCGCCTCATTAGGCTCCCGACTGTCACTCTCGCCCCCGGGCTTTCCGCTCACACCGTGACTTCTGCCTGGGACGCCTCCACACTCAGGCAGGCTCACGCGTGTCCTCCGGACTCTTCCGGGCCGAGACCAGGGCTGAGCCCAGACACAGCACGAGAAGCCCGAACCCAACCCCGGGGACCCCGGGATTCGGGGGTTCGCGCCCCCAGCCCGCCGGCCGCGCCTGCGCACTGGGCCTCACCGCGCTCCTTGCGACCCGGGAAGCCGTAGTCGGGGGGGAAGGTGGGCATCCGCTGGGGGTCGGGTTCCCCCGACGGATCGGTCACATAGCGCCGGGCGAGATGCGCCCCCATGGCTGCAGTAGCCGCAGGTTCCTGCAGCCGCCGGGGTCACCTCGCTCCTACCCGGAAGCACTGCCCCTTCGCCGGCCACGGCTTCCGGGTTGTGCAGGCCGCAGCCGGGATCAGGGAGATGAACGACTCCGGAGGACTTCCGTTTTCTCTGGCTCCACCTGGCGGTCAGGCGGAGACAGCACAGGCGCAGCGCGTCCTTTCTAGGGATCAGGTGGATTCCAGAAGGGGGGCTTCCTGCTTCTGGAAACCAGCGGGGCAGGCGATGAGGGACAGTGGGGCCAGGGGCCAGGGGCCTTTCCCTCCCCTCCCCGGGCGCCTCTGGTCTCCCGGGGCTAGAGCATAAATGAAAGTTATTTTTCATAGTATGCAGTATTTCCCCCCAAAAACGTTTTTCCTCTAGAACTTTTGACTTTGTCTTAAAAACAAAACGAAACAAAAACAAAACCCTGCACAGTACTGGTAATATAATTAGCAAACATCAAAAGTTTAAATACAGTTACTCACAATCAATATTTTAATTGATTAAACTGAATTCAAATAATCAAATAAAGTTATTTATAAATAAAAGTATTTAAAGCTGACATTTTAAATAAATCCCATTGGATACTTTTGTAAAAATAAAATAAGATGCAATTGTAGATGCATTTCTACATGCATAAAATAAGATGCATTTCTACCCTGGTCATGATCCCAGGGCCGTGGGATAGAGCCCTGAGACTGGCTCCGCGTGGAGCGTGGAGCCTGCCCAAGATTCTCTTTTTCCCTCCCTCCTTCTCCCCCCACACTTTCTCTCTCTCTCTCTCTCAAATAATAATAATAAAAATCTAGGGGCGTCTGGGTGACTCAGTTGGTTAAGCGTCTAACTCTTGATTTCGGGTCAGGTCATGATCTCACAGTTTGTGGGTTGGAGCCCCACCTCGGCCTCTGTGCTGTGCCCCAAGGGCCTGCCTGGGATTCTCTCTCTCCTTCCCTCTCTCTCTGCCCCTCCCTTGCTTGTTTGCTTTCTCTCTCAGAATACGTAAATATTTTATTTAAATAAATATTTTAAATATTTCTCTCTCAGAATAAATACTTTAACTACACTTTAAACAAAGTAATAGCTTTATAAAGAAAAAAGATGCAATTCTACTAGTCCTCTAATGGCCACTCTAAAGAATTGGTATTACACTTCACGCTTGTTACATTAGGGCTTGCACGTATGAAAATTTAAGAGTACAGAACACAGTTTGATGCCGCCGGATACGCTTCTTGGCCTCAGCGTTCAACTGTACCAAATGCTGTGCAAATTTGTTACTGTCCGGAAACCCGCACAGGCTCACAAAGAGGAGTCGTTCAATGGGTGCTTGGCAGTGTCTCGTGCACCTGGCAGAAAGGAAGTTAGATCGTGTCATTCCTCGGCTGCAACCCTCTCCTGGTCCCTCATTTCATATGGAGTAAAAGCTGGACCCAGCCCCAAAGAGTCGGACTCAGGAGGTATGGGGTGGGTTCCCAGAATCTGCATTTCTAACAAGTTTCCGGGTGTTGGCGATGTTGCTGGTCTGAAAACCACCCTTGGGGGAATTGCTGAGCTGACTTTCACGTGCTGACACGGAGAAGTGGCCGCAATACGTTATTAGGTGGAGAAAACAGGCTCTCGGGGATGGACCCACGGTGTCTGAGACTTCCTTTCCAGGGCTACTTGGGACCTGACCCAGGAGCATGACATAGAGTTGTGATTCTTGTGCTCTTTCGGACTCCAGGGGGCAGCATTCACATTGCAGTCTTTCTGAACGGCGCTCCTGGAATTGTGCAGTGCACCATCTGCACAGCTGTACCAGGCAGCCCAACCTTGTTCTGGATGTCTCTCCTCCCCCTCCCTTTCTCTGGGCTTCAGCTGCTTACCCACAGGTGACGGGCTGCGTAAGCGTCTATGCGGTCAACAGATGAATAACCGGAGAGCGTGGTTTGGAGGAGTCAGTTAGGTGGTCGCACGAAAAGCGCTCACTGCCTGGTATACAGTAGGCGGCCAGTACTTGCTTGCCACGATTACTCGTGTCCGGGCTGCACCCTAACTGGAAGGCAGGAGGCGGGGAAAAGGAAGCCGCGTTGCAAATGGAGCGGGGTGGCCAGGAGGGGGCGCTCTCGCGCCCTACCGCCCTCCTCCATAGCAGAACCTGCAGAAGAGGTACCTTGCTGAGCTTTGCTCCCTCCGCAGGGAGGGTGAAAGAGTTCCTCCTTGGAGGCGACGGCCCAGCGGGTGAGACAAGGTCACGACTCAGCCAGTGAGAAGCCAGCACACTTGCAACTCCAGATTTGTTCCAGCGGACTTTTTGTATACAAGAGGCCCTCCGACCCCCTCTTTCCTTTATAGAAGAGCGGGCCTCCCCTTGGTTCTCTGGACTCGCCTGTGGTTTGGCCGCACCTTGCTCATCCCGGGGTGCGATTCTCTGCTTTTCCCAAACACACTCATTTTGCTGGTCAAATAATTGGCTGTTTCATTTATTTATTTATTTTTTCCGGGTTAACAAAGGGCAACCAGAGAGAAGGCTCCTGGACCAGTCATTTCACTAGAGGCTGAAGGGTGAGGGGAAGGGGCCCATTTTTGTCCCGGGGACCGTGGACTCGAATGCCTCAGTGTGGCCTGTGCATACTCAGAGTTGGGACCTGGGGGAGATGGTGTCAGGGGGACGGTGGTATGACGCAGCCTGTGGCGGGGTGAGGAAGGGGCCGGGCCTTGGCCAACGGTGCCACGCAATCTTCCTGTTTTTCTCTACTAACCATTTGACAAACAGACTTTCCGGTGTCCCCTGCCCACCCCCCCCCCCTCTCCCCCACTCCCCCCCCATACGCTGGTTCACTGCTTACAGCCCCCCACCCCTCCTTCCTGCTTCCCTTGCCACCCTCTCCTGCCTCCTGTGGCCTGCCCCAGGCAGGTGCTGTCTTAACATTTCTGAGCAGAACAGTCTCAGAGGCCCCAAGTGGGCCCCTGGGGTGAGAAGGAAATTCTGGGCGGTGTCTACGCCTTGCCACGGTCTGCTGGATGGGAGATAGGAAGCTTTGGGTAATTCGGTTCAGGGGGAGGAGGAAAAACAAGGTCAGCGAGGCCTAGAAAGCCCCTGGGGCAGGCCTTAATCTGCCCATGGGGCAGAAAAGATGGCATCTGTAATCTGGCCCTGGAGCCGCCCTGGGATTGCGGCTGCCTGCGGGGAGGTTGGCTGGTTGGTGTTGGAGGGATGAATGAGGGGCTTGGCCTCCTGGGTGGCCTTCGTCAGGGCTGGGCAGATAGGCCAGTCACTCATTCATTCAACAAACACCCATTGGACACCTACTGTGTGCCGTGTAGCGAGCTGAGCTGTTAATGGGGGGCAGACAGTCAATGGACAAGAGAAAGAACTGAGGGATATGGAATGTCAGATGGTGATGACTATCACGGAGAATTATAAAGAATGGAGGGTTGGGAGGAGGGCCGGTTGTTAAAGAAACGCTCACGGAGAAGGGGGACATTTCCTGTTTTTTTGAACACACCTCAGGGCCTTTGCACAGCCTGGATTCCTCTTCCACCAGATAGCCAGCCATTATCCGTGGCCTTCCTCCACGTCCTCCAGTCTATTCCAGTTGTCAGGCTTTTCCCCGATCACCTTTTTATTTTATTTATTCTATTTTATTTATTTTTAACATTTTTTTAAAAGTTTATTTCTGATAGAGAGAGCAAGCGAGCATGAGCAGGGGAAGAGCAGAGAGAGGGAGACACAGAATCCAAAGCAGGTTCCAGGCTCTGAGCTGTCAGCACAGAGCCCGATGTGGAGCTCGAACCCACGAGCTGTGAGATCATGACCTGAGCCGGAGACGGACGCTCAGGCGCCCCACCTTTTTCTTCTTTTTAAAAATTGAGATATAAATGACACATGACATCATATTAGTGTCAGATGCGCAACATAATGCTTCTACATATGTGTATATGGCAAAGTGATTGCCACAAGAAATCTAGTTCGCATCCACTCAGAGTTACAATTTTTTTCTTGTGATGAGAACTTTATTTATGTATTTATTTGAGAGTGAGCGAGCGAGAGAATTCCAAGCAGGCTCCACGCTCCGTGCAGAGCCCAACATGGGGCTCAGTCTCGTGAACCCCGAGGCCATGCCCTGAGCCAGTATCAAGAGTTGGATGCTTAACTGATGAGTCACCCAGGCGCCCCGAGAAAGACGGATCTTTATGAGTGTTCCCTATTTGGCTTCTTGTGAACAGTGTTAGTGAATGGATGGGTAGGCAACCCTGTAAAGAATGTAGAGAATTGCCTAGAAAGATGTTTCCAAGAGTGTTACTCGGGGAAAAAAAAAAAAAAAGGACTCTCAGCAACTTTCAAATATACCCCATCCCCTGCTTCAACATAAGCATCCGTGCCCTGTGTCGCCCCCTTAGCCCTGCTTTCGCTGCACCCCCCGCAGTTTGATATGGCATCCTTTCACTTTTCGTCAGTTAAAAATATTTTTAATTTTCAACTTCCTCTTTGACCTGTGGGCGTGATTTAATTTCCAAACACTTGCGGGTTTTCCAGATACCGTTCTGCGAGTTCTAGTTTAATTCGCGTCCGGTCTGAGAACATGCTTTGTGAGATTTCCATTCTGTGATCTTCCTTTGTGTTGTGTTGTTGTTGAACAAGGTATCCCAGTACCCTGGAATATAGCGTAACACATAGGGAGTTGTGGGATGAAATGAACAACTGAATCCCCGATCCCCATTGGGCCTATCAGAAGACCTTTGCTCAGAGATGTTGTTCTACTTCCCTGGGGTCACGCAGCAAGACTGGGGCAGAGCTGGGGTCAGCCTGGGCCCGTGGCTTTAATGTATGCCCGGTTGATGGGACTGGATTCCTCTACCAGGTCCTGAGCACCCACTGTGTGGCCGGCCCTGAAGGATGGCCTTGGCCGTGTGGCCATTACCAGCTCCCAGCGAGACCATCCGGACTTCGCCGCCCTGATCTTGCCCCAGATCCGCTCACCTCAAGGGGCGCCCTTGGTGGGGCAGAGATGCTATCAGTCCTCTTGGCTGGTGCAACCCCACCTTCGTCCCCTCCCTTCCCTCTGACCTCACACATCCTTCTGGAGCCTTGTGGTCCAGGGTGTGATCAGCAGACAGGCTCCTTTTCTCAGAGTCTCTATTTTCCCATCTGTAGAATGGGAACGGCTGTACCTACGCCTCAGGCAGGTTGGGGAAGTTTTGCACGTTACTTCTTGCAGTGTAATGGGGAAAGCCCAGCCCTTGGGGTGAGCTTTCCCTGGAGAGGGAGGCTGGTCTGCTGCAGCACCCCCCCCCCCCACCGCCGCCTCCCCAACTTCAGCCAGGGCTGGGCACACACTTTCCCCATGTGCTGGCGAAGATTTTCCGCTCGTGGAGACTGTGGGTTGCTTATATTGATCTGTGAGGCAAGCAATTCTATTTTAAGTTGATGTTGTTCTGAATGTCTGTTACAGCAACCCAACCTAATATCCTACGCTGTGCACACGCCGGGTGGGATTTCCTTGTTGCTTAAGCCTTAAGCCAGTTTGCGTTTCAATGCCTTTTATTCTCAGCAGAAAGCCCTTATGAGGGGGGGGAATTGGGGTCTTGCCCCTTGCGGTACAGAGTGGTTTCCTATGGTTACCATGGCAAATCCCCCCAAATTTAGTGGCTTCGCACAACAGGAACGGGCTCTTTTACAGTTCTCGAGGTCTGAAGTTCAAATTGTTTGATGGGGGCTGAACCCAGGTGTCAGCAGAGGATCCCGTGGGAGAATCTGTTTGTTTGGTTTTTAAAAATATTTTTATTTTATTTATTTTTTTAAATGTTTATTTATTTTTGAGAGAGACAGAGCATGAGCAGGGGACGGGCAGAGAGAGAGGGAGACGCAGAATCCGAAGCAGGCTCCAGGCTCTGAGCTGTCAGCCCAGAGCGTGACGCGGGGCTTGAACTCACGGACCGTGAGATCATGACCTGAGCCGAAGTCAGACGCTTAAGCGACTGGGCCACCTTTTTTTTTTTGCCTTTTCAAGCTTCTAGACCTGCATTCCTTGGCTCATGGCCCCTTCCTGCGTCTTCAAAGCCACCAACATGGTGTAAAGCTTCAGAGGAAGGAGAGAGACACTTGAGGCACAGACACACAGGGAGAGGCCGGGTGACCACGGAGGCAGACACTGGGGGGATGCGGCCGCAGCCAGGGAGCACCAGGAGCCCCAGATGCTGGAAGAGGCAAGAGAGGGTCCCCCCCTAGAGCTTCTGGAAAGAGCATGGCTGTGTCAAAACCTTGAGTTCAGACTTCTTTCCCGCCAACGCCGAGATAAAATAGATGTTTCGTGTATATTCGGGGTGTGCAAACTGATGATCTGATGTATGTGTACATTGTGAAATAGTTACCATAACATATCCATCACCTGCCAGACCCATTCTATGAAGCCAGTGTTACCTTGGTTCCCAAACCAGACAAAGACCCCACTCAAAAGGAGAATTACGGGCCAATATCCCCGATGAACCTGGATGCAAAAGTTCTCGACAAGATACTAGCAAACTGAATTCAACAGCACATTGACAGAATTTTTCAACCTGATCAAGTGGGAGTCATTCCTGGGCTTCAGGGCTGCTTCGAGATCTGTGAATCAATCAGTGTGATACACCACATTGATAAAAGAAAGGACAAGAACCAGATGATCCTCTCACTAGATGCAGAAAAAGCATCTGACAAACCACAGCATCCTTTCTTGAGAAAAATCCCCACGAAAGTAGGGATAGAGGGATCTCACCACTCTACCACCGTTGTTCAACACAGTGTTGGAAGTCCCAGCCTCAGCAATCAGACAACACAAAGAAATAAAAGGCATCCAGATTGCCAAGGAAGGAGCCGAACTTTCACTCTTTGCAGATAACACGATACTCTAGGTGGAAAACCTGACAGGCTCCACCAGAAACTGCTAGAGCTGTTACCTTACAGTGACTCGTTCCCTTTCTTTCTTTCTCTTTCTTTCTTTCTTTCTTTCTTTCTTTCTTTCTTTCTTTCTTTCTTT